ATTTCTTAAAATTTAACATTTTTTTCTTCTCTTTTATATCATTAAGCTTCATTATTTTTGTACTCTTAAAAAATACTTTACTTATATTTAATAGTCTCCACCCTTTGGTAAAAAATCTAAAATTATGGAAAATTATCAAAAATTCGAGAAACCGAATTTCTTAAAATTTAACATTTTTTTCTTCTCTTTTATATCATTAAGCTTCATTATTTTTGTACTCTTAAAAAATACTTTACTTATATTTAATAGTCTCCACCCTTTGGTAAAAAATCTAAAATTATGGAAAATTATCAAAAATTCGAGAAACCGAATTTCTTAAAATTAAACATTTTTCCTTCTTTTTATGGCATTTAGCTTTATTATTTTTGTGCTCTTAAAAAATACTTTACTTATTCAATAGTCTCCACCCTTCGGTAAAAAATCTAAAATTATGGAAAATTATCAAAAATTCAAAAAACCGAATTTCTTAAAATTCAACATTTTTCCTTCTTTTTTATGGCATTTAGCTAATTATTTTTGTTTAATGTAGCAAATTTTTTACTTTACATACTGATCTTTAAATAAAAAACTTTAATAACTTTTCCTGAAAAGCTTGCTTAAAGATTAAAAATCACTATTTTCTTCGAAAAAAGTTGATCTAAAAAAACGAAAAAAAATTTCAAAATACATCTTTTTTAAAAATTTTATCGTAGAAATGGGTTGTATTTATCTGAAAAAGTTAGCTAAGGATAGTTTTTTCATTCATTTTACAAAAGATAAAAAATTTGCATTTTTTTGTTTTTTTGAATTTTTTGGAAAAATGTCATAACTTTTGTTCAAGTTAATATTTTTTAATCGGATAAGGCTATGATTGTAAGTTACTTTAATACCTAATAGACTGCCAAATTTCACTTTAATTGGTTGAACCGTTTTCAATTGATGCGCGAACAAAGTTTTGCATACAGACAGAGACAGACAGACAGAAATTTTTTTTACATTTTTAGAATTCTAATGTCTCAAAACGAAAAAATATATAAAAATTTTCAAGTTTGGAGCAATGTACAGATAGTAATCTGATTTTATTAATATAGATAATGTTCGTTCACATTAATAACTTTTAGTTTACTATAGCTACACTAAAAAAAGTTATATGATTCAAGTAATTATAATTATTTGAAAAATAATATCTTATTTAAAAAGTTTTTATTTCGATCTAATAAGAATTTATTTCGTTTAAATAATTTTATTTAGTTGAATCAAATAAATCTTAATTGGATTAATTAAATAAATACTTGACTCTAATAAATGAATTTATTTAACACAAATAATTTCTAAATTTTATATTTTTTCATGGATTGCTTCTAAACTTTCTATAGTTGAGTATTACATGTTGTTTAGTCACATTTTAGCATAATTTTTCAAAAATACTTTCTTATAACGAAGATGTAAGTATAAAAATGTTTTGAATATCAAAAAATTGAAAAAATTATAATTGATACCAATTACTATGAAGCTTAATTCAGTAGTATTTGTGGGCTCTCTGATTTAACTTTTAGAGATATCTTGATCAATGTAAAGACAAAAGTTAAACACGGTGTTTATTTTGGTTTAAAACAATTTCCGGCTTTGTCCAAATTTTTCCTGGTTTACTCGACGGGTTTTTTTTAATAATACATTTAACAGGGTGCTTACCAACCAGAAAAGACGTAAAATATCAGGGAATTTAATGTAACCGAGAAAAACTGGATCTACTTGCTATACAATTAGTTCGAATTAGACTGTACTATAACTCAAAAAACTGGAGGAAATTTTAGATTGATTTTAATACATTATATTGATTGAAGTACTACAAATTGAGAAATATTGTTTTCTGCATTTGAATTAGTTAAAAATAACTAATTTGATAATAAAAAGTCGGTCACTGTTTCAAATGGTATTATTTTCCTAATGAAATAGACAATAGTAACTAATTATTATTTTTTCCCTGTCAAATCAAATTCCCGGCTATTTTCCGGTTTTCTAGGTTGGTAGATACACTGTTAAGTGCATTATCAGAAACTACAACCCGTCGAAGACGGGTACGACAGCTAGTAGTGAATATATTTGATTATTTGTTATATTTGTTTATATAGATGTCAAACAGAGCGGTTCGAGGGAAAACGACCTACCTTCAAAAATGGGAAATCATTTATCCTTGGGTGACAGCAGATGCCAAAGATATTTATTCTGCACATTGCAAGTTATGTGGGAAAAGTTTTGCTGTATCTAGTATGGGACAACAAGCACTTAGGAGTCACAGTGAGGGCAAAAAGCATAAGCAATATGTTGATGCTGTTAAAAAAAGCCTACCAATAGAATATTTTCAACCTGAAGTATCACATTCATTAACATCCGCATCCGATACGTCAAGATCGAATGAGATTCAAACAGTTTCAAAAACATTTAAAACAGCAAATTATAGATTCAGCTCTTGGTAAAGAATCTATTACCAGAGCTGAAATTTTTTGGTGTCTGGAAACTATATTGACGCATAATTTTTTGAGAAATGCAGCAAGTGCAACATTTAGAGTCTAGAGTTATAAATCACGCTTTTGTTAGCATCAGTCCCATATGGGAAAGGAGTGGTCACATGTTCCCGAAGTAGAAGAGTGAAATACGAAATTTTTACTGGATATGCACTTAAGAAAAAAAGTAGTAAAACGCCATTTTCAAATTTTTCTCCGCCTTGAAAGAAACAAATCTGCGCGAGCGAGGTCATTCTCTCTTTGAACAGAGTATAGAGCAGATAACCAAATTCGCTATAATATTGTCTAAAATCGTCTATTTGGACGCCTGGTGGGGACTATGGAAAGTACATTTAAAAGAGCTAGAGTGGGGATAAGTCACCATAGGCAGAGGGTTAAAATAAATGATTCATTGAATAATTGAATGTTTCATAAAATTTAATTTTTATGAAGTTTTATTGAATTCAATTCATGAAAAGAATTTAAATAATAATTTATTAAGATAATTGCATTCATGCGAAGAATTTTATTAAATTTTGTTTAAATAATTGATATTTTGACAAGAATTTTATTGAAATTTACTTCTAGAGAAGAGTTTTGCTACCTATTTATAAAAATAACTTCATTCTTAATTGAAAAGAATTTTTCAAAAATTTTGAACATAATTTAATTTCTGCAAAGTATTTTATTACTTTTCAAAAGAATGGAATTCTTGTGATAAATTTTGATGTTTATCAAAATAATTGAATTTTAGAAAAAGAATTTTATTAAAATTCCTTAAAATTATTTTATTGAATAATTGAATGTTTTTTAAAATTAATTCAAATTTAATTAAATTTTCCGTCGAGTTCTAATGGAATTTTTAAGAATAATTGCATTTTTCGAGGAATTTATTTAAAATTGTATTAAAAATATTTGAAATTCTGCTTAAGATAATTGAATTCCTAAAAGAAATTTTATTCTCTATGAAAATAATTGAATGTCTTCGTAGAATTGTATCAACAAATTTTTTTTAAAAATTAAATTTTGTGATAAATTTTATGAAAATAGTAAGTATATTGAAAATCATTGAATTGCGAAAAAGTTTTGAAAATAATTGAAATTTTCCAAAGAATTTTATTTAAATTTTTGATAATAATTGAATTCCTGTGATGAATATATTATTGCTATGTATGAAAATAATAAATTGAATTTTGCAAAGAATTTTATTAAAATAATTTAATTTCAGTAAAGAATTTTGCTATTTATGAAGATAATCCGTTAAAACTTTTGAAATAGGTAATTAAATAATAATAATATTAAAAAATTCATTCTTGTCAAAAAGAGAAAAAAATTGAAGGTTTTGTATTAAAATTCATGGTAACTTCATAGTTTATGAGGCAAACAAAAAAAGACACCAAAATTCAGAATTTTCTTAAGAATTCTAGAAATCTAATTTTCTCCAGTACTTTTAATAAAAATCCCTGACTTTTCCCTGATTTCCCTCGCCTGTAGCGAACCTGATTCTTGAAAAACCATCGCATCGGCAGAAAACACCATCAACTTCTACTTCGTATTTTTGAATTAAATACCCAAAAGTAACCAAATAAACGAATTATTATATACACAACCAAATAAAATAATAAAAAAACCAAATTAAAAATACGAAAATAGCCAAATTAATAAACAAATAATTAAAGAAACGACCATTATACTTAAATAAGCTAGCACTAATTAAAACTACCATATTCATTTATTTCATGATATTAATTTTCCAACATGCATGTATGCATCATCACAAATATAAACAGTAAGGAGAAAAAGAAACAATTAACATTAATTAATATCGACACGATTGAAAAATTTTTCTTGCGAGGCAAATATAATATAAAAATCAAACATAAAATCAAATTTCAATTAAAGAGAATTGACAGGCCATACAAAATGTGTGATTAACCAAGCGAGGAAAGATTAACCCATGCACGAAGATTCAATGCTACTGTGTGTTTGTTGTATGGAGGAATGGAAAATAATTAAAATGGAAACAGTGCACTTCTCTTGTGTACACGAGAGTAAATCCTCGAGAGAATGTAATTGAAATAATGACCACGAGACAGTGGGGACTAGTTTTTACTGTTCTTGTTCAGGAGTGCTTGCTGGCGCTTGCATGCTACACACAAAGTGCACATTCTGTTGAAGCAGTGCTATTTTCAGATGAAGCGTACACACTATTTACAACACTTCTTCTTCTTCTTCTTCTTCTTCTTACTCTTCTTTCTTCTAAAGATCAACCATGTAATTATCGCTTATGCGGAAAGCGGTAAAATTTTCATTTAAACAAACGACTTTTTTACAAGTTAAACCCTTCACACATAAAATATCCATTACTCTATTCTATTTTTCACGTAATTTTAATTAATTTAGTGGAATAGACATTGTGTAACTGTATTTTTATTTTTATATTATCGACGAGAATATTTTATGCTTTCCGTTAATGCCCACAATTTTGAATAATTAGTTTTCATTTTCTATTCGCAGGTTCTGGCATCATTAGCTCTTTCTATGGGAACTCTATCATCTGGTTTATCAAAAGGATATACATCACCAGCTTTAGACTCAATCCTTGATACTCAACAACCTAATTTGTATCAAACAACACGGAATGATACCTGGTAAGCTTTTTCCAATTATAAAAAGCACCTCAGTGAAGTTTGTAACGTTTATAATGATTGATATAGAACCGACGGATTAGCTCAGTCGGATAGATGCCTCGCTTGGCGGTCGTTTAAGGACCAAGGGTATAAGTACCTTTGGTTCGCGCCCATTTGGCTTGGTATTTTTCCGGCACGTGAGATAATCTGAGCGGGAGGTTTGACGTCGAGGTATAATGATGTACACCGTCGATTATTGTCCGGTACACACCATTAGAACTCGACTGTCGATAAACTGGTTGTACTCAGAGAGGTTTTCTACAGTTTCCCTCTTCTCTGGCGAGAAAACCCATTGACGGGTGGTCCAGGCAAATGCGAGTACTCCTAATTTTCAAGTCGCTCTGTAGGCGCAAAGTTAGGTTAATATATAGAATTTTCATATGTAGAATGGTTATGCTTAATCCAAAAAAGTATTTCTCGGGGACTCTTGTCGAAGTGCGTAAGGCCAATAGGGCAGGAGTATAAACAATAAAAAAAAATAAATAATGATTGATATAGAAAAGGAAATAATTTTCTATTAAAATTTTTATAACTTTTTGTTTACGAGGCTAAAGTTCACAACGAGTTTAAAAACGAAAACAAAAAAATAATGCTGTAGATTATTTTATTTTTGCTTTAAATTGTTGCTATTAAGCAACAATTTCTCAAAAATTAACGGACATGAAAATTAGAGTGGAATTTTCTTTTTGATTTTTCCTTTTTAAAAACGCTTCGGACTTCAGCCCTAACTTATCCCTGATTTTTAAACAAAATTATGACTTTTTCCCTGACCCTAAAGAATATTCTGATTCACTCTAAAAATGATTAGAAAGTCAAAAAAATGTTCTATTACATTTATTTACAAATTTCTTTAATTGTAAAATTATTAGAAAACATCAACAACTTCATTTTTAAATAAATATTTAATTATTATAATTTTTCCACAAGAATTCAGATTTTTCTGAATTTGATTTTATTCACGCAGAAAAATCCGATTGAAAATTGTGGAGTTCAGCGCTAGTAACTTAGATTTCATTCCCAAACTTGTCTACCTTTGCGGCTCCAGGATAGAAAACAGGGAAATGAATCGTAAAAGGTTTAAAGCACGTCAGTAGGCTTAAAATGTTTTCGTTCTTATGCACACTTATACGCGGAACAAAGCAGACTAAACACATTCATAGGCGCTTCTGGGCGGAGTCCAAGGCAAGTCTAGTGCCGAGTCCCATACTGAATATAATGTGAGCAGATCTTCTAGTGACCTACATTATTACTTTTATTTGTCAAAATATTTACTTTTATTGGAATATTCAATTTGAAACTAAATATAAAATCTAAAAATGAAACAACTGAAAATATTAGAATACTTTGAATTTTATAAAACTTCTCACTGGGATTTTTATTATTCTTTAGATATTTAAACGTAGAATCTCTTTAAAAATTAAATACAAGTCCTTTGCCATTTTTACTAAAATGATTTGTTTTAAAACGTTTAAAGAAAGAGATTATATTTAAATATCTACAGATTAAATAAAAATCCCAGTGCAAAGATTTTTAAAATTCAAAGTATTCTCTATTTTTTACATATTATTTCATTTTAGACTTTACATTTAGTTGCCTAAATTCAACATTACAATAAAATATAATAACAATTAGGCATTGCACAACCGGCTAAAAACAAAATAAACACACACCTAACCTCAAAATGAGATCAAACATTTCACATAGATATTCTTCCACATTCATTTGTAACACTAGAACTTTATTACAAAACTGCACTCACTATTATATTTAAAACTAGAATTTTTATTAATTGAAACAATTAATACACTACGAACTACACCGAGACTTCCGTGTACATATCAAAAACGAAGAAACTGAACAAACGCGGGCGCAGGCGCGCCAGAGTTTCGCATTCCTAAAAACTGTTTGGGAATGAATCTAAGGACTCTCGCACAGAACAGTCCCCGTTTAAGTGAACGTTGATACAAAGTTTGTAACAATTGAGTAGCTGAATTAAAATAAATGCAAATAATAATAATTGTACCTAATTCTTTTCACCTTTGAATTAATTACGGAATCTGATTGCACTTGTTGAAAGAAGACTATTGGCGTTTATTAAGATATTTAGCATTGATCTTTATTGAAAATCATTCCTAAACTTTTTGGGATTGAAATCTAAAATTTAATATTCCTCCCTACGATAATAGAAATTACTCAAATGATTTTATATTCAGTCCGAAATCTGAATTTTCATTTTTCTCCGTGTTTGACACCATTTCAAAATTTAATTATTTTTAAAAATTCATGCTATACCTAATGCTTTTAATATTCATTTATCATATAAAATAAATTTTAACTGAAATTCATTTTTAATTCAATTTTTATTAGAAAATTCTACAAGAATTCAATTATTCAAATTCAAAAATTAAGTGATTTATTAAATAATTGAATTCTTTCGAAGATTTTTAATAGAATTTTTAAGAACAATCATTGAATTCTTTGCAGAAATTCACTTAAAATTGTATTGAAAATAATTGAAATTCTGCGACGAGTGTTATTAATTATGAAAATAATTAAATTATTGCGAAGAAATTTATAAAAAAAAAGTTGGACAAGTGCGAGTTGAACTTGCACTGCAATGGCGGGCTCCGTACACAAATATTAAAACAATACTTGCAACATTTATCGGTAATTGGTAGAATTAAAATAAACAATTAAAAAAATATATTAAAATCATTTGATAAAAAAAAATAACTAAAAGAAATTATAGTATTGTTTACAATATTAGATATAAAATACTTTAATTTCTTTTAGTTATTTTTTTATCAAATGATTTTAATATATTGCTTCCTCATAGAGGAAGGATTGTATTAGCAAAATTTTTGATTGTGATTTTTTGACATATTTACAAACTTTTTTTTATTATACCTAATCTTTTAGTACTTTATGCACGAATGGGCGTTGCCCGTATAAATGTTATAAATAAATATAAAAAAATTTTTATGTAGGGGAGACTGGGGCGAAAAGTTAAACTGACAAGTACTCTGCCAAAAAATAAACCGGTTAACGTGAAATAAACCAAAAAAATTTTTTCTTTTTTTTGAAATTTCAATTTTTTAAATTTACAACTATTCTAAAGCTTTTGTCAAATAAACAAAGATCTTTTATTTACTAAATTACTTGTTTACGTATACTTTAACTTATCTACTACTTATCACCTATCAGAAAATAGTTTTAGTAGGCTAAAAATAGAATTTAACTTTTCGCCCCAGGGTGGGGCGAAAAGTTAAAAAAAACAAAATTTTCAAAAAAGGACAAAACATGTATTTTTTGCGAAAATATCAGGAACCTTTTTATTGAAAGTTGTAGAGGACAAGTTGCCCTACAATATTGATATACAAATATTTGCATCTAAGCGGCTTATATTGCAAAAAAAAATCATTTATGCAAAATTTAACTTTTCGCCCAGTCTCCCCTAATTTTACCTCAGAAGTCCAAAGAACGGATTTTAAAAAATTGTCCCGATGTGTGTTTGTGTGTGTGTACTAACATTACACTGTAAAAAATTTAGAGAGTTAACAGACTCGGGAGTTGGGAGTGAAATTTTTCGAGTTAAAAATCAACTCCAAAAGAGAGTTAATTTCTAACTCCCTCACGGAAAAAAATTTTTACCGTGGGGAACAGCTAATTTCGAAAAAAAATAACATAAAGAATCTATTCAACTAATTCAGTGAATGATTTCCAATGCAGTAGTCAAACTGTTTCTCTGATATAGAGAAAATGAATTTCACTAGTCAGCCATATTGGAAATATTTGACAGATTACCATTCTCATAGAAATTTCTCTAAAATCACAAATGTCAAATTTACATTTCTTACCTCTAAATACGTATTAATTTACTAATTTTACATTTTATTAGTTATAATATAAAAAATATAATTAATAGAATTTGAAAATACGCTTTGAACATTAATTTAAAAATGTTTTCATTCAAGTGTTATTTTGAGGTTATGTTGTTTTCAAAAGGTAACGCAAGAAATATCATTTTCGCTCACGAAGAAAATTTGTTCCTTATATTTTACCGAATTTTTCAATAAAGTTGGGATATAGTAGCATAATCGTAATTTTTAATAATTTTTATATTATTTTTTCGGTAACAATATTTAAAATCTAATGTGATATCTTTATTCCTTAAGAACTAGTAATGTAAAAGTTAAAAAAAAATTGAAACTGAACGTTTAATGTAAATTATAGCGAATTCGGTTATCTGCACCGGAGCACTCTCGGAGTGCTCCAGAGCAGGAGTAGCATGTTCGGTTTGACAAATGTGCTCTAGTGCAGATCGTTTGGAGTATTCGCTTTAGCAGCACTGCTCCGGCGCAGATCGTTTCGAGTATTCGTTTTGGCAGCACTGCTCCGGCGCAGATCGTTATTTGTGTTCGAATTAAGAAGTGTGCACTCTCAAGGATCGAAAGGTGCAACAAAATTTGCTCCCACAATTTTGTTAGTGCAGTTTAAAAAAATGTCAAGAGAAGCGGCAAATTTAAAAATTTCACTTCTAACAGATTTAATTGACACCTCTAGCGATAGTAGTGAAGACGAATTATGTTTTTTATAATGAATTTTGTATTTAGAGAAAGACTAACATTCAATATTTTAATATTTAATAAAAACAGTAAATAATTTTCAATATTTTTAATATTTAAATAAAAATACTCATTATAAAGTAATTATTTGGTCTCAAAGAAATAACCTTTTCACTTATTTTATTATTGTTGTTGTTAGTAGTTCAAAATGTCAAATAGTGTAAACAAAATTTATATCAGAAATATTATTCGATAATTTTGTGATTAACAATTCTGCTATATCAAAACATTGACCGAATAAGATTTTAAAATTCTAATAAAAATATCAAATTTTTTGCTTTTAAAAATATTATTTATGTATACATCATAAAATATTTAATTTTAAGTAAAATAATT